GCGAAAATAAATTTGCATTTCCCTGAACGCTTGTCTGAGGCCAAAACTGCACTTAAATATCCTGCTCTTTCAAAACAAAAAAGAAGAGCCAAACAAAATAAGCATTTTTAAAGAAAACGAGCACGACGAGTTTGAAATAAAACACCCTGCATCCTGTGTAATCATTGCAGATTTTTTTCGGCTGGAGGCGAAACTAAATTTACATAATCCTATAAACGCTTGCCTGAAGCCAAAACTGTTTCGAAATAAACTGCTCATTAAAAAATGAGAGCCAAATGAAAGAGCCATTTTTAAAGAAAACGAACGTGACGAGTTGGAAATAAAATTCGCCCACATGATGACACAAAATTTCCCATCATAATGAGTAAATTGTAGTAAATGCAAATAAACGATTGATCATCAAACCAAGTCACAAGCAATACACCAGTGCAACTTCTAGGTGAAAACCAAAGTGCACATATAATTTGTAGATTCCTCAGCCAATCCGATGATCCTTGTCATAAATTATCGGGCACAGAAAGTCGATTCACAATACGAAAATGAAGTATTAAAGGTATGAAAAATAATCATTCTGTGCATACTGTATTTCAGTACAAGTGCAATCCAGCGACTTTCGAATGATTGAGACATTTAAAAATTATTTTATTTTCCTTTCCAGAATTTTTTGGACACAATACCCATCAGAACCCTATGCTGATTCACGAGCTGGAAATGAGTGAATCCCCGGAATTTTAAATTTAGCTGAATGAACGCAAAGTTGGCGCGTTCCCAGTTGTTTTCTCGTACATCGAGAAACTCGTGAAATGAGAGAAATTCTGCAAACCAGGCATCAAGAGTTCCTGTGGTCAGCAGAAAAAAAATCGTGCTGTCTTCACGCAGGGACAAATTGAATTAAACCTAACTTTTCTACGTGGGTTCTCTTGAAAGTAAAAAATGATGATACAAACTACGAAGCTCTCTCTCTCTCTCTCTCTCTAAATCATTTCGTTCCTCTCATCCATGAAGAGTCAAATGGTGAGCAGGACATTTTCATCATCCTGATGAATTCGTGGTTTCGCGAGATCGTCTGAGGGGCAGTGGATCATGGCATGAATAATGCGACCAAAGAATCTTGCCAAATACTGTATAGTAGACATATTCGGAAATCCAAGGACAGGCTCAACGTAGCGAGTAATTTTCCCCCTTTGCCCATCTTCGGGTATGGGTCACTATGGATGAGGACAGGCTCGGAAATTGCTCGGACAAGAAAAGGATCTCCTTTGATTCTCTCCTCATTTTCCTCTCCACATTCCACGCAACCCAGTTTCCCTTCCACTCAGGCATTCATACCGGAACTGATCACAAAATTAATCTCGCGTACAACGCATTTTCTAATGTTTTTTTTTTTTTTTGCTGTGCGTGTCGAAGAGTTCTGTTTTTTCTATTTTTTTTTTTTTTTTTTTGTACAGCCTTGCATTGTCATCCATCAGTCATCACTCATCAGACATACAGTTGATCAGTTTCCCTTGAAGTTGATTACGTGAAAAAATTATTTTAAAATCGTCAGAATGAGATATGACAAAGTTGATGCATTTTTTTCAACTCATACTCATATCTTCATATTTTCAGGAATTTCTCGCACGATTTTGCCTATGAGAACAAAGCGATGATTTTTCAGAATTTTTCGTGAAATCTGGGTACATAAGGGAAAATACAGAACGTAAAACGTGAACCAGGTTTTACAATGGTGTGGCAGTTTTTTATACGTTCGGCTAGAATATTCTATAAATTACAGTATTGTACTGTACATACAAATTTTAGTCAAATTAATTATTTATTTACTATGCGCGGAATCTCAAAATTTTTTGGCTTCAATCACTCCATTGGACTTATCATTAGAGCATGGAACGATTTCATATTTGGGGATACGTCCAATAACAAAATAAACCAGAATTTGAAATCATGTGATAAAGCTCATAAACCCACCTCTCCATTACTATGCTTCAACCCATCATCACTGCTTTCCTCACGATATTCTTTCCAAACTGTGTAGACCGCGAAACCCATGAAAATCGGAATAGGACTCAGCATGAGGGATATAATAACCCAGTAAATAACCCGCAACCAATTTGGGCAGTTGAATAGCCTGCAAGCCAGAGGCCGGTCGACGATCATTGACAATAGAAGGGTCGTCTACAACAAGAAACAAAAATTAGATTTTAAAGATCATATATTTTTGTTTGATCTCCTCTTGGCTGAATTGCAGTTGTTGACTTTTTAGACCGGAAGAGAAAAGCACTCACCAGAGTGACAGGAAACGCGACAAATGCTAATGTGGCCACTGCGAGGCTCGGTACCCAGCTTGGGTCACTTTTCATGCTCAGAAAGTAGTTCC